ACAGGGTCGCCATGCCCTCGTAGGAATCCACCTGTGCTCTCACAAGTTCTCAAGGGCGCGACGGGAATGTCTGCGCCCTCTCGTCCATTCTGCTATATCACCCATCCTCTCTTTCTCGACGCATAGTGTTTCTTCATCGTAGCACAGTCCTTCTCAACAAAATAGGAAACCCTTAATCTTACTTTTTTCAGCAGAATTTGTTTCCTTTTTTCTTCAGGGCAGGTCTATCTTGCACCTATACTTCCATTTTCGTGCGCAATATTCACACCAATTTTATGGCGGATTGTGCCTTCTAAGTATAATCATTAATAGCATAGAGGTTCATTTCAAGAACTTATCCCATGTTTTCCCTTCGTTTTTTATTCTGTTATTTTTGATTTATGACTTTTTTATTATATCGATATTTTCTTTGTGCTCTCCTTCCACACCGATGAGCTCAGGGCGAAGATTATCGTTGTCTGTGTAGCTTCCGTGTAGTAGCACGTGCGAAACGGATAAAGAAATACTTCCTTGATTTTAATCCCTTCTCCTCCCCGCCCCTCAATATTTCTAGGATCTAGATTACTTCCTAGAACTTTCACATGTTCTTTACCGATTTAGCTTTACTTTTTTGTAATCATAGATTCTGATTTTTACGATTCTCCAATGGAACTGTTTACTCATTGCCAGCATCGAGATGTTTTCATATAATCGACCTCTTTACGGAGCGTTCAAAGTTGGCGATCGTACGTGCGATTAGGCGATTAGGCGATTAGTCTGTAATGAAAAATATACGTATAGATTAGGCGAGTAGGCGAGTAGGCGATTAGGCGATCGCTCAATGGGCGGAGCAACAAATCAATACGTATCCTTCTCTTATCGCCTACTCGCCTACTCGCCTAGTCACTAATCGCCTAATCGCACGTACGATCGCCAACTATGAACGCTCCATTGGAGGTCTGGAAGTGTGGGAGATGAAGAGCACTGTGATCACGCCCCCAATCCACCCTAACAATTTCGATGACGTCATTGAACCTCAACCCATAATTTTACAGGTATTAATGGTAACATTAAGTATACGAAGTAAAAATGAGAAGCTGTTTGTAAAAATGAAAAGTTGTTTCAACACACATAATATGGATGGCATGAAGTCGAAGTTCGTGAGCGTGGAATGCCAAGAAGATGTTCGCAAGTGATGCGTAAAAAAACATAAAAACATGGGGTGAACTCTCCACAAATTTCCCGACCCTTTATTTTTATATCGTATTCTCGAAGCTCCGCCCGTTACAAGCATCTTTCGCGACAACCCAGAATGAAAACCGAAAAGTAGACCCACCAGGGTTTCACCGTAAGTCGAAAAGTTCCGCTGGCATTCACGGACGGTAATCAGTAGCGAATGGAACTTCCACTGATGCTTCTTTGTGCTCTTTTCATTGAAGATTGCTACTTTTTTTCTGTGCAGTATAAACAGCAGAGAAGCTCTTGTTATGGTTGAGTGCGAATTTTTTGAATCATTCTAGGTTTTTGAACGTTACTCAAGCAGTCTGTAACGATTACTCCCCGCTGCTCTTCGCCTCTTGCGCCAACCCTGTC